GACACACGCAAGTAATTAGATTTCACATGAGAGGGTTATGAGTAATTGCAACCTCTTTGCGCCAAAGATAAACGGTATACAAACCACCATATCATAATTACAAAATGTATTATTTTTATTGGTTGAGATTCTTTTTTTTTCTTCATATCCATAAATCTTGAGTTGGAGATGATAAAATTGGAGGATTTTCAACATTAGAACACCCTCTTCTAGATTTTATTTTAAGTGCCCCTTACTTCATTGGTATGAGGTTTACACCTTAAATAAAACGTCTCCATCTTGTATTCCGCTCTCATCTTGCGAACCATTTTCATCCCCGAGAGCTGTGTGGCTTCGCAAAAGCAGACCAAACCGGTTATAACAGGAAAAGAGGTGGTGGTTTAAAATGTCATGTGGCGGAGCGATCATGGAAGGGGACGCCTCCTCTACCGCCACCTCCTCCTCCTCCTCCACCTCCATGGAGCCCCAGGTATATCCCTTTCCCTTTTTACATTTCTTTTATTTATTACTTTTCGCCATTCATTCTCTCTCCCCCCCTCACAGATGATGACCACACATTCCCAACATTTTTTTGGCGGACCATCCCGACCAGACGCTCTCTCTGTCACTATAATCCAGGTATTCTTCTCTCTCCTTAACCTCTTCGCGTTTTTCTCGTTTATACTCTGAACTTTGGCTTCCATTTTTATACTTTCCTGTTCAGGACCTAGCGATTTAGAATCGTGTGAGCGGAGCTTCTCCTTTAGTTTTATTTTCTATTTGAAGTTTCGTTACTGCTAGTCCTCAGTATCTCATTTCTTGGAATTTCTTTGTTTTCTGGTCATCACACAAATGGCAGCAGTAGCCTCATAGGCTTTTCTGGTTTGATTATGAAATACTGCTTTTTGATTATGAAATACTGCTTATTGTTTTCTTGATCAATAATTTTCACACCAAGGAGTCACTCACTTTAGCTAAACGTGTGTTTCATTTTCTATGTTTGGAAACTAATGTGCTTCATTGTCCATTGGCCTCTATGAAAAAAGTACAATTATTGTTGCATGAGTCCTGTTAATCGGGGCCAAATATAATTGAGCTTGTTTTTTTGGGTGATAATGACTCATTGGAATTCAATTGAGTGTCAATGGTGGTCTAAGCTTGGAGCAAGCAAAGGAGCCCTTTTTATTTTGAGATCTGTTCCACGTGATTTTCAGGTGAGCTTCCCCTCAATATTCCCCGCACCAAGAATTTTTTGACCTAATGAGATTCCCTTCCTTCTCTCTCTTTTCTTTATCAATAACGATTCCATTCACTTTTGGTTCATGCAAATTTATTATTGTCAGGCCAGACTTCTTATCCTTTTTGGAGTGGGGAACCGGAACAAGTTCTCGTGTTATCATTTTTGGGGTGGTTTATCAAAAATCGGGTGACTCTACTCTGAGAGTTCCACTACTGGCACCAAGCCATGCAACTGGAGTCACTTCGATCTTCCACCTAATGTTGTTGTAGAACTCAATTCTATGTCATAAATCCTAGCTCAGCCACAACCCAGTGCGCACGCAGTACTAGTTCCACTTTTAGAATTTTAACCATGGATGGAAAATTAAGTGATTTCCAACTTCCAAAATCAGCAATTGAAGACAAGTTGAGTGAGAATCAACACAATTTTTTGTTTCCCAGGCCAAATTAAGCTCATGTCGATTGTGTTTATGTAATATGCACATTAGAAATTTATTTGTTCTTCCATTGTTTTTGTACCATGTATGCTATATATCCAGTTGAGGTGTTCTCATGCTATTCTACTTAATATATAATGGAATAGGAAAAAAAGGAATGGGGTTGAGGTCAAGGTGGTAGCACCACCTGTGACTTAGCTACCGGTCTCGGTTTCCAGCCCAACCAATGCTAACCCCTTTTGAAAACTGCTAACGGTTTCAAAAATTGCTAATACATTAAAAAAAAAAAGCCAAATTCCCTTTCTTTGTCTGGAAACTAGTGAACTTGTTGAATAAAAACAAAAAGATTACAAACCCACGAGGTGTGATAAAAACTACGACCCACAAGATGGATGCTCAGAGTACAAGGGGGAGAAGAGTAAGAAAGAAACCCAGAAAGAAAAATAAAAAAAGATAAAATAACTACAGACAAGAAAAGAAAAATAAAAAAAGATAAAATAACTACAGATAAGAATTGGGGCTAAGAAAGGAAAAGAGAATAATGGAAAGAAAGGAGGGGTAGAGGAGGAAATACTATAGAGATAGAGAGAGAAGTGGAGAGAATCGAGCTAGATAGGAAAAATGACACACAATGATCCCAGAGAAGACTAGAGTAAACGATAGGGTCCGTTGCTGAACTTCGAGAGCTCAGAGATATCCGGTTGTGAAAGCTGTGGTAGAACGAGCTTCTGTGCCCAAAGAGGACAAGAGTAAATGGCTGAAAACCTCTTCTGACCTTCTCATGTAGGAAGATGTCCCTTAGAGACAAGCTGCAGAAGAGAAGAATAGAGAGATGAAAAGGGAAGGGGTAGCTAGAGAGAGAGGAGGGAATGAGAGGAAGGGGGGAAGAACAAGCTAGATGGAAGGGCTCCGACTAGGGAAGAGAGAACAATAGGTGAGAACAAAATTGAGAGAGTAGAGAAGGGGAGAAGGGGTAGAGCACAGTGATAAGAGAGAATGAAGAAGAGGAGAAGGGGTGGAGCAGAGAGACCAGAGAGAAGGAATACGAGGAGAAAGGGTAGAGTAGAGAGAGCAAAGAGCAGGAAGGAGGGGAGAAGGGGTAGAGCAGAGAGAATGAAGGAGGGGAGAAAGGGTAAAACAAAGAGACCAAAGAGAATGTAGAGGAGGGGTAGAGAAGAAAGACATGAGATAATAGAGAAGGGAAAGGGAAAGAAAAGTGTAGTCTGTCATATTTTTTTTTGTTTTCTTTTGCGTTTTCTATATCTAATTTTTTGTCTTTTCTTCTTTTTTCCTTTTTCCCCTTCTTTTTCACTTTTTTTTGTTGTTGTTTCTACTTCCTCTTCTCTTTTTTCTTTTTTTCAACTACCTATTACGGGGGAGGGAGGAGAGAGAGAGAGAGGGGACATGGAGAAAAGGAAAGACCTAGGGAAGATAGTTTCATAGAGAGAAACTTTGGATTTTTAACGTAGCTATTATGAGAACAAAAGAATGGGGAAAGTGCTGCAAGCTCCTCCCTTAGCAAGGCCATCAGCTACTGAATTGGCCCTCTAAGGATGTGTAAGGTCACTGGCAATATATCTTTGTAAATAAGAGCAATAAGTTCAAAGGTGGATGTCAACCGCCAAAGGGGTTGTGTAAGGTTAGACTTCGTTCGACTTCATTTGACCTGGATTGCTCCTCTGACGACATTACTTAAATCACACTTCACCTATAGACTGAAGAATTGTGTCCGAAATTGAAAGATCTTCTTGATTCCTTCAAGTAGAGCCAGAGCGTCAGCAGTGATGGAATTTGAAATTCCAAGAGTCTCCAAGAAAGACACGAAAATACCATTGGAATTGGTTAGGATACCACCATACCTTGAGAGTTCTAGGTTGCCGTATGACGCACCATTTGTGGGGTTTTGGGGGGGGGGGGGGGAGGGAAGAAGGGAGGGATGCCAGAGGGCTCTAATAATGGGGGAAGGGGAGGTTAGTGCCAACAAACTTTGCCAAATACCTCTGAGTTGTAAGAGGGAAAGGTGAGAGAAGGCGGGAATGCTACTTGTCCAAAAGGAGACCAAAGAGATGAGTGAATCCAAGGTGGAGGGAAGGGATCTGGCAATGCCGCGAAAGTTCTCGCGTTTCTTTCTAACCAGATGGACCATAAAAGGGCTGCAACATTAATGCGCCACAGTTTTCTACTACTAGAGAGGAAAGGGGGGGAGACTAGGGCCAAGAAGAGATGAAGGTGTGACCCATTAGAGGCCAAAACGTTGTTGACCCAATGGTGGAGGAAAAGGGATGATGAATAAAAAGTTGAGGGATTGATTGCTTTTCTTGAAGACACATAATACATTGGTTAGGAAGGGAGATACCTCTTCTCTGGATTACGTCCAAAGTTAAAGCTCTGCCCTGAAGAAGGATCCAAAGGAAGGCTTGGACCTTATGGGGGATAGGGAAGTACCAAATTTTGTTGAGGAGGTGGGAGGGATGCAAATTAGCGAGGAGAGAAGAGTAAAAAGAGGAAATAGGGAAGACGCCATAGGGGTTGGCGGACTGAATACGGGAGTCTTCTTTTGAGAGAAGATAGAAGATAGGGGTCAACAACTGGAGAAGAAAGTTAAAGGTAGCCAATACAGAGTCATAAATGTTCCTTCTGAAGATTGGGGTCCAAGACAATGAAGAGCCCTTACGTTCCATGTAGTGAGCTATGAGGGCCTCTTGATTAAAGAATTCAAGGTCTGATCCCCAATCCAAAGATCTTTCTAGAATCTGGTCGTAAGGCCATTACCTATCTTGAATCTAGTGGATGCCTTAAAGGCAGATTTAGTCGAGGAAACGGACTTGCATGCCCTGGAAGCATGAGACATTGGGAAGCGACGCAACCATCTGTTATCCTCAAGACAATACTTAGCTTGGATAATTTGCATCCAAAGGAGGGGATTGGGGGTAGTGAATCTCCACCACCATTTACTGAAAAGGGCCGATGGTCTTGATCCTTTTGAAACCAAGACTACCAAACTTCTTGGGGTGCAAATCTTGTCTTAGGAGACAAGATGAAATTTATGTTCCTCTGTGGCACCATACCAAAGAAAATTCCTCATAAGTTTCTCGAGGCGATGCGCAATAGAGGCAAGAATTTGGAAGAGGGATATCTGGTTAATAGGAATATTAGCCAAAGTAGCTTTAATCAAGGTGATTCTATCCCCAAGGGATAGAAATCTACCCTTCCAATTGGTGAATTTCCAAATGAATTTTTCTATGATGTTTATCCCAAAAGTGTTTTATGGGTTTCCCTAGACAGAGAGGGAGACCCAAATAGGTGGAGGGAAGAGAATTAGTAGCAAACCAAGATGTTGCTCAAGGTTTATAGTTTCAGCCTCATTAACCCTAACCTCTAGCATTTTGGTTTTCAACATGTCGACCTTCATCACAGTGGTGACCTCGAAGCAACTAAGGAAAAGCCACAGATTGTCCAACTGTGCAGGATCGACACCACAAGAAATCAAGGTGTTGTGTGCATAAAGGAGATGAGAGATGACTGACCTAACCCACTTGAGGAAGTTTAGGAACCCCTGAGAATACCCAAGTCGTAGAGCCTAGTGAGAGATTTCGAAAAAAGCTCACCAATGATAGTGAATAGAAATGGGGATAGAGGGTCTCTTTTCATTTATCGAATTAACATTGTATTAGAGAAAACCTTCATGATATGCTCGTGAAAACCCTAACCATACTAGATTTGAGAAGTTCTTTTGGAAGGAGTCACTATAGAAGTAGCGGAGCTGAAGAAAAACCCCAATTCTTTCTTTGTTTTTTTTAAAGTAAATATAAAGAGATATCCTAGTTTTTGCATTCAGGAAAACAATTTCAACTCATTTTTTAGGGGTACATATGTGCAGGACCCATACAAGCACAAGACCCTAGGGCCTTTGTTCCTCCTAGTGATACTAGTCATTTGACATCCGTCTCAGTAGATCTAATG